TGGACAAATAAACATATTTTGCAAAGAAAAGGATGCTAAGGATGTGCTCAGACTTCATCTCAGTGCATCCAAGTCCTAATGCATCAAGGGCTGTGAAGCGACTCCAGACTTGCCCTTCTGATTTCCCTGAGGAGCCCAATGATATCAAATTGAATTGGGCACCTCTTCCCACATGCTACTTTCTCTGCCAATATATAATAGATTACACTTCTGTCAACCAGATCCTGTAAATATATAAAATCTTACACAAGTTAACAAGTTATTGCAAGTGGGATTTACCACTATTCATATCAGGTCTCCACTGGTAAGTATTTAACAGGGAAACACCCCTTTCCTTTTATCCTCTCCCTTTATCTATTAAACTAATTGGTTTATTTACCAGGGAGTTACAACTCACCCCCAGCAGCTCACTTAGAGCTCTGATCCATACATATTCATGATCACATACAAGGCTGCAGCTTGAAAGGGATGCTCTATGCACTGCTCTGCTGGCTTTTCTCATGGGCACAGAGCAGTGCTTAATTTGTGCCAGGGCTTGCCAGGCTGAGCCCCGGCATCTCTGGGATTGTCAGTCCATAGCCCAGCACCTCTGGGCTTGCCACATCAGTTATGAAAGTTAAAAAATTGCTTGAACCCTGGCACCTCTTTCATTACCAATTAAAGACTCGGGCAGAGTCCTCTTTTTGGTAAGGAGAATTTCTGGATTAATTTAGGTGCTCATGTTTAAATGAAAGACTAACAGCACTTACAGATCCAAACACAGCAAGGGCAAACACTGTTCTAGCTTCCTTTGCACACCTCTGATCTGCAATAGCCCAGCTGTTGCAGTCCTGTATGTCTCCTGAATACAGCCTCACCACCGCAATGAGTTATGACTTCCTGTATTGTAGCTTTGTGATATAGACAAACATCCATAGGGTACTAGGATAATTTACCCCGCCTGCTTTTACTTGTAAACTCTCTGGGATTTGAATCAAGATATCAAGAGGGGAAGGCTAGTCCATTAACTCATAAATTATTCCACAAACATCCACACAAGGGATAGTGCAATTTTCTTCTAAATCACTGTTATTTAATAGCTAATTCAGCCATCGGGGATCTTTTGCTACCTTTCACCTTTGGAGAACTTGGTTCAAATACAGATCAGGTCACATGTAAAATGACTATGGTGGTCACTCTAGTCTTAAATGGACATTTCTCTGTCAAGCATTTCAGGATATCTGTGCCTCTCTGTTCAGGGGAGATCTGAGACTGGAAGGGAAGCAAGTATTGCAAATCAGAATGGAGGTGCATTGGCTGCACCATGTGAGGGAAGCCTTCACATACCCACAGCATGACCAGTTCTAATGTCTGCCCAGGGCTATTAGTTCCTCATTTTCTTAAGCATTAAGTGCACCAAGAATATTAGCCTGTCAACATAAACCCACTAAAATGGGAGACCCAGTAAATCTATAAACGTTCAATAAGAGATACAGAGCAGTATTCATCAGCAGACAGAATCACAAATAATTAGCTGGTTACTTCTTCTACCCAGGAATTTTATCAATGTTCTGATTTGGTGATTATGCAAGTGAGGAGCCGATACCTTTATCAGACATAGCGTGTGAGAGGTGTGTGAGAGTTTCACCCATATAACCCTGCCAATGCACCAGAGTCCTAATTTGCCAGGCCCCCAGTTATTCCAGTCCCAGGTCTTCACATAGCTCTGTCAAAGCACCCCAATCCTGACTTGTAATACCCTCCTCTGCTCTAGTCCTGAGCAGAAATGGACAAGTATCCCATACCATATATTGGTTTTAAACATGAACAACATCCACTGGCATTTAAAAGGAGATCCACCATGCTCATTTCAGTGATAACCTATACCTGATTTATTTCACTCTTACAGAGTACTACAAGCTGAATTCCTTAGGCAGTAAGTTATTCTCAAATCAGTAACTACTGCATGAGTATAATCATTAAGAGGCAGTAAAAACTCCAACTTATCTTGGCCAGTAGAAAAATAAAATGAAAGTCTGAGATTAAATACAGCTGCTTATTATTATTGACTACATTTAATTGTGAAGGTTACTAGATTAGCAGTGTCCTGAACTGAATGTGTTGAATTACTTGTAGGACAGGTTAGCAAGATTCAATTACATTAGTTGCAATGCTAGCATCCTCACACAAGCGTGACAAAAACCTCAACTGGGACCCATGGGACCATCTGTTTTTCTCCTTCCACAGCCAGAGGTAAAATCTGATAAACCAGGTATGACAGCTCCTTGAAGTGTTCTTCTGCCTTGCAGAGATGACCTGAGACCACCAAATTCATTACACTCAACAGTACATTTTGCAGTATAGGGCTTGAAGAACCATCAGGAAAAGTATGCAGATATTGAGTCAACTGCCTTCACTAAAAAAAATAATTTTACTAAACACATTTGTGGCTATTTATTTCTGGATCAAGTCATTACCAAACCTCTATTAGCATTAGCCATGGGTTTAGCCCATTCCCCTCTGTTTCTATCCACAAGGTCATAGAAATTAGAGATGGAAAAGACCTGTTCAGTCTTCTAGTCTGCCCACAACCTTCCTGAGAAGACCATCAATGAAAGCAGGATTGTATCTAGTTGTTCAATTCTACTGATAGCAGATGTTAGTTAATATGTTCAGCATATATAAGTAATTTAGTCTTATTTAATTGGACAATTGTCTTGCATTATATTTTGGGCCAACTGGACTTTCAGAGCCAATATTTTGTAATGATCCATAATGGTACCTAATGAGCAAATTCATAATGGAAACCTTAACATATAGACTTGGCTCAGTCTTTATGTCAAACATGTAATAGCCAATTTGACTGGTTACATTTATGAATCATATACTCTTATCATATCTATGAAACACTATAAATTACCATTCCTATTGGTTATTGAGAGCATATGTAGGTACACATACCCCAAAACTTCTAATATGTGTTATTTATTCAAAGGTTAAACTGCAAATGTGCATAATCCTTTGCAAATATGGTATGTCGAGGCTGAGTCAATAATCTGAAAGAAATGAGGAACTCCATCCTTTAGTGTCTCTGATACTAAATGTTTCAGGAGTGAGAAATGGCATTTGAGAGCAAAGAATAAGCTAAACAAGTGTCATGAGAGCAAAAATCAACCCTTTTCTAACTTGTATTACTTAATCAAATTGCTTTTCCTCCTGATGTAATAGCCACTAAGTGAAACTATTGCTTCTCCCAGCCCCCACAGCTATAGATCTGCCATCCTTACAACCTCTGAGCTTTTTAAACACAGAAAAAGATGTCACATCTCTGTTGAAAAATACTCATGCATTTTCCCCGGTGATCTACAGGTGCTCCTAAACAGAGTGCTGCATAAACACGAGTGAAAGGAAGTCCCTCATTCTGCCTCCTCCTCCTAATTACTAAGCACTGGCAAGGGTATGTAGGGGGCTCCCTCTTTTGTGATCTCAGAAATGACTTTTAGAACAATTAATATTTACACTGCAATCCAGCTCAGACCTCAGAGAAGAAGCTATGATCCTTTCTTCTTAGTTAACCTTGATCAAGATTAGCAAAAAGATAAAATAAAATAGTTTATAAGGAAAACAAAGGAAGAAACACACCTTCCTTTGTGCTGACATATATTTATGAGCAGCAGCCAGGGTCCACACATCACCTAGCGCAGAATATGGAAAGCATCAGATGTATATTTAAACAAATCCCTAAAACTACAAGTTATTAAAGTCTAATGCATTTCCCTTCCAAGGTAACCCTGCCCCTATGCTGTCTCCTTTGGAAACTTCCTTATAACACATTTTTGTGCCTGTGATCAGGTTTTCAGTTCCCTCTGCAGCCTCCACCCTGCACAGACAGAGAAATCTACACCTGTCCGCCTAAAAATAAAAAATGCATGCGGGGTAGTCCCCCAAGCTATTATTTCTCCTCCTACCCCAATCTATCACTTACCACGTTTTATAAACCTTTTATTTAAAGAAAAGCAGCAGGAGAGAAAAAGTGATTTCCCATGTTTGGCTTTGTTTTGACACCTGGGTTTTGCTGCTTTCTTAGCACCATAATTATTTCCATTCGGCTCCCTCCTACTTTTCTCTCTCTTTCTGCTCTTGCTTTTTTAATTATTTTGTCTGTCATTTGCTGTCTGATCCCGCCATCCGGAAACCATTCCTGTGGATCCAATAGTATAATGAAAAGGAAGCAGCAGAATGTGGAGCCGCTAGGATCAAACAGCTCGGGTGTAATTATGTAGCGGCAGTAACTGAGCAGGGGGACACGTCAATAAAAACGCCACCGTTTTTCTGCAGTATTTTCAACCTCACACATTCACGCTTGCTCAGCTCATCTTAATGCACAGGTCTAGGCACCATGAAGGTGCTTATTAACACAGCCCAGCAGCACATCGGCGCCTCCTATAACCTTGCCAAGCGCACCTTTGCAAACTCATTAGAGCACTTGGGAACGGCTTTGTTTTCATCGAACGATGCAGCGAGTTGCCCTTGCTGCAAAGCTGCTCCGTGCTCTGTGCAACAAATGCCTCCCCTTCCCTCTAAATAACGGTCAGCATTTGCAAAGGGAGTTACCACCTTCAGCCCAGCTCGCCCTACCCCCGTGCAATCTAATGCAATCAGGTGGTGCTGCTAGCTTGTGCACGCACTGTTCTGGCTTCCATCTCCCCGATGCCTGCTAGTCTCTAGCTAATGCAAAATTAAACACGTTTTCAAATGAAATCGTTTAATTTTTCCACAGGCATAGTACTTGCTCAGCTCCCTGGCTTTTCGAAGACTGTCCAGTTGTATTTAAATCCCCCCCCTAACAACAACCAGGGAAGCCCCATATATTTTACAGATCCATTTAGAGTAGAGATTGCAATGCTCTCATCGGCAGCTCTTTCGCACAGGTTTCTCCGCTGCACTCCTTTCTGGTTTTCAACAGCCTCCCCTCCCCTAGGGTGGACCTCATGCTATACGGTTTTAGGCTACAGACTCACGTCTCGGAAGCGGTTCCAGTGTTTGATCTTGCCGCTGTATTGAGAAATGGAAGACAGCCATTGCTCGTCCTCCATAAAATTGCCTGGATGGTCTCCGTCTTTACCCCCTTTGCTGTCCCCTTCCGCCAAGGCGACAGCCAACAGCAACAGTAGCACCAGACAACAGCCTGGGGCTCTCATCTCTGATCTTGGTCTTTTTTTCTCCACCTCTTGCAAAGCAATTATTTGTCTTCTTCCCTCTCTGGTCTCGCGATTTAGGGAGATGGATGGTGGCTCCTCAGTGGAATGTGACCTGATTATGAGATGCCCTACTCTGAAACCCCGAGCTAGGAGCACAGATAGGATGACAGAGTCTGCGCCAAAAGAGGCTGGCTTAGTCACTGTAGCATCAGCATCACACTTGACATCATACCTGTTAAACAGGAACCCACCCAGAAACTACGGGATATGATTTCAAAGTGAGTCTCGAGACCAGAGCCAGCGCGGTCACTAGCCCCGCTCGCAAGGGAGGAGGATGCAGGGCACAGGGCAGTACGAGCCCCGCGAGCGGCTCACGACAAAGGCCCTGGGGAAGCACATCCAGCTCACGCTGCAACCCAGAGCAGGAGGGCGCAGACGGGCTGCGGCTCCCGCTAGCCCAGCGAACCGTGTTCAGTGCCCGGCCCGTAACCCTAGGCTGGGTCCTGGGAAGAGCCGCGGGGTCGGGGGCGTGGTGCTGACAGCGCGCGGGCACCTCCCGAGACACCAAACCAGCCCCTCCCCTCGCGCCGCGGCCTCAGACCCGCAGGAGCAGAGCCGGCCCGGCCGCAGCAAGCCGAGCTGTTGCACGGATTTCCACGGCACCTCCCTCTCGGCCCGCCGTGGTGCCTGGATGCTGTAGGGAAAGGGCCTGAGGCTGCAAGAGGCGAGCCCGGCGCTCTGCCCCCGGGAGAACAACGAGGCTCGCCGCTTCCTGTGTAGGGAGCTGGCGGTCTTTGGAACGTGCGAAGTGGCTGCCGAACAGGAACGTGAAGAGCGAGGCTGGGCGCCCTCCATGGGGTGGGGCTTTCCAGGGGATTTGAAAGGGGATGAAGCTCTGGCGGGGAGGATTTGGGTTGTGCTGTTTCGAAAGAACACGGTCAAATTGGTTTTAAAAACTGATTATCCGTATCAGTGATTTTCAACCCTTTTCAGGTGCAGACCCCTACAAATTTTAAATGGAGGTGCTGTCCCCTTTAGAAATCTTAGAGTTCAGGGACCAGCACTGATCTATATCAATTCCCATTTCTGACAGAACACCCCCTTAAATAGTTCAGCCTACTTAGGCGCTGCTGGAGCCTAAGTAGGGCCCTGATCCTGCAATCAGCTCTATGCCAGCAGCCCCCCTCCCCCCCTTCAGCTCAGAGCCCCATTGAAGTCAAGGGGATTTTGCAGAAGTTCACCCACCCAAACCTCATTGTAGAACTAGGGCCTGATGGACTGTTCAAAGTGCTGTCGAATGCACAAAGAAATCAATGGATAAAAGAGAAAAAATGTTTCCACTAACTTCATTTATAGTAAGGGGAGGTGTTATTGTCACAATAGTAGCTACAATATGTTCAGACAAATGTGATTTTCAAGATGACACCACCCTTTAAAGGGTTACACTCTTGGAATGGTTGCTGGGAATTAAAAAAATTTCCCATATGAGAAAGGCATAATAGATGTTTACATCAATCGTAAAGCAAATAGGAGCCAAAAATTCTGGAGGCACAAAACATGTTGATCTCACAGGACCAGATTCAGATTTCAAACAAATTCTTGGCTTTCAGTCCTAGAAATTAACAATACTAAAGACAATCTGCAGAAGAGGAAACAGACTAACATTCTTTTAACTCTCCATTGAATGTAAACTGAAACAGAACTAAAGGATCTATATAAACACAGCCATTAATGCCCCTTCTACAGTTGTGGTCACTCACTTGATACAGTATTTGTGCACAAAGGGCCATATCCTGCCACCCTTGCTCATGGGAAGTAGTACCTTACTATGTGCTAGTCCCACTGATTTCAATGGGATTACTCATGGAGCAAGATTTACTCTCAGCATTAGTCAGGGTGGAAGGATCTGGCCCAACATAATCAAAATCCAGCTATATTAACTACTTCTGGGGGAATTCTGCACCACTGCGCATGCGCAGAATTCATGTCCCCCACAGATTTCTTTGCTTCCCCACAGAAAAATAACTTTGACAGAGAAGCAAAGGGAAGCTGCAAGAGCAGTCATACACCACTTCTTAGCAGCACAGGTACATCATTTCAGGCACCCGGAGGAGAGAGAAATCACTGCAGGGCTGGTGACACCCCAGCCAGTGGCTTCTACCCTGAGCCAAGATCAGCTGCTAGTCCTGGCTGGGCTGGAGGCAGGAGAGAACAGGATTTCCTCTTCCCCTGCAAGGAGTGGTTGGGGCTGTGTCAGACCCATCCCCCAAAACCTCCCCCAGCTGCAGGAAGCTGATCATCCTCCCCTGCTTCCTGCCCGCATCACTCCTCAACTGCAGGAGATGGGGTCCCTGTAGAGGGAGCTGCTCCCCCATCTGCCCAATCCCCATGCATCCAGACTTTCCATACCCAGACACCCCCACCAAGCCTTACCCAGTACACACAGAATCCCCCAGCCCTCCATACTGAAACCCACCCCACTGAACCTCAACTCCTGCATCTGGAGTCACCTGCACCCCCAGAGATCCCTGAACTCAAACCTCCACCCTGATGAGTCCCCCCACCCCTGAACCATCCTGAACCCTCACATCCAAACCCCCACCCCACTGACCCCCAACAAGCTGCACCCAGACCCCCACCCCAGCAAGTCCCCCTCCCTGAGCATCCAGACCCCTCTGCTGGGACCCTCACACCCAGACCCCTCCACTGAGCCCCAACCATTCACCTGGAAGCCCCCCCCAGAGTCCCATTGCCACTGAACCTGGAATTCCCCCCCAACAAGCCTCTGTGCATTCAGATCTCCCCACACCAAAACCCCCCACTGAGCTGCCTGCACCCCAATTGTCCCACACAGAATCCTCTCACCCCACACCTGGATCCCCCCGACAATGAGCCCCTCCACACTTGGATCCTGCCTGCCCCACACCTGGTGTGCCTGGCACAAAGGTAGGGGGACCTAGGATATTTCTGGGACAGACCCAGGCCTTGTGCTGTCAGAGTCGGGTGCAGCCTCACCACTGAATCCGTGTCTGAGGAGTGGGGAGGCTGCAGGGTTTTTTCTCACCTTCGTGCAGCCAGGGGCCTGTGCTCCCCACTGCCATGCTGGAGCCTCTGCATTTATTTATTCACAAATAAAACTTGCAGAATTTTAAAATATTGTGCCCAGAATTTAATTTTTTGGCACAGAATGCCCTCAGGAGTAATTAATGATGAGCTCAATGAGGAAAAACAGCAAGAAAAAAAATCAATATTAAACAAAGGGCAAAACTAGTTGGAAAGGAAATTTTATAGCTAAGCTTCTAAGAGGGAATTGCTTATGAAGAGGAATAAAAATAGTACTCTGTGTCCTTTGGAGCTTGAATATTTGGTCTGAAGTATATTGCTAAGTGCATAAACAGCTTCTTGGTTACAGATGTTAAAAATAAAACATGCTAAGAAGCTTTTATATGTATATCTTTCTATCGCAAAAAGAAAATCTAGTCTGTACTTTTGGGTGGAAGACTAACAGCCTGATCCTGAGATATGCTTCTTGAGAGATGCTGAAAGCTGAAACCAACAGGAATTGAGAGCTCTCAGCATCTCACAGGATTAGGTCCCAAGTGTGTGTACACATGCTTTACTAGGTAAGCAGTATTAAGGGTGGTTTTAGAAGAGGCTCTTCCCACCGGAGGATAAGTGTGCAATGGCAGCATGGGAAGAGAGCTGGAGAAAAAAACATTAAAATAGAGTACAGGATAGCTTCAGACTAACGAGTGAATATTAAAACTGATTTTCTGAGCAAAAGGAATGTTTTCAATACAAAATGAAGAAACCAGGATCATCCATTTTTAAACTTTCCTAGTGAAAGAAAAAAAAAAAGACTATGTTGCCACTATTAGTGAATTTGGAAAGATGATCCCCAGATAACATGAAATAAAATCTTTACAACAGATCAGCACCGTTTAAGCCAACTGTCTTAAGATGCTGTCTCGAAGTATCACCAACTGTAATAACAATTTTGCTCCTTTATCAGAAAACCATTTACAATAAACAGATTTTTGACAGCCTGAGGAATGATTGCTTAAAACAGTTCTCACTGCACTTACTGCAAATGGTTTATTAATACAATTGCAAAAAGTTTACAAAAATAATTGGATAGCTTTATTAATGCAACAGGAGTTAAACACTTTTTTTGAAAGGAATTAATTTATTTGGTTATTTTAACATCACTAATGTTACAGAAACACTGTCAAACTGTTTGGGCCCCAAGTAATGACTTGCCTTAACATTGTTATATTACAGTCTGGGGAGCTCTTCTGGATTTTAAACATTTATTTTGAGAGTTTACAGTTGCTCATTTAAAAACAAAATTATCAAGATCTGGTGTGACACACAGAAAGCTGGGTGCGCGCACACTGCTGGTCTACAACAAGCAGTTTAATGACAAATGTAAACAGGCACATGCAACATTCCTGTTCATATAAGGCCTGTTCCAAAGTCCACCGATTTCAATGGGAGTCTTTCCACTGACTTCACTGGGCTCTGAAATAGCGAAGTAAACAAAATGAAGACATGTCTTCTGCTCCATTACAAAGAAGGCTGAGGAGGAAGGCTGGGAGAGACAAATATTTGCCAAAAGGAAAGAAACTGTAGAGAAATAAATGTTATTTTTGTAAACTTGTAAGATGGCATCAAACGTCTGATAAAAACGAGAAAAACTGCATATAAAAGGTTAGCTGACAATGACCCTTTATCCTAAAGATGCCAGCTAGCTTCCAAGTGGAAGAAACCTGTAAACTAGAAGTGTTAAGGGAAATGAAAAAAGCAGTATGAAGTGGAGGTAGGAGGAGACTAGAGCTTTTTGAGAGGATAGGGAGATGGGATATTTGTAGGAAAGACTGCAGGAGAGTTCCACCAAAAAGGTGCAACGTCGCGGATCGTGCATGGTTCCTTGAAGAAATAACATGGCATCCCAGTCTTTGTAGAATCCTTAGAAGAGATCTCTCTTCATGTTTGAGGCTCCAAAATTAATGTAACCCCTTTACAATTCTGGGTGCACAGCAGATCTGTTGGAGCACCTGAGTTGTTATTTCAGGAGAAAGTGAGCTGCCCAGATGTAGCGTAGTAACCAGAGCTGTCTGTGGAGAATCTCTGAGAAAGATGGACTGAATTCAGCTGCAGTTCTCCAAAGTAGAAGTTCTCAAAGTTCTGAAAGAGAGGAGTTAGAACCCATGAGGAATGTCCAAACAAAACAAATTGAAGCATATTTGCAGACCTGCCTGTAAAAATCAACCTTGGAAAGTCTCTTCTCATATTTAGTTCTACTTCTGTATTCATTTTGCATTTAGAATGATTCTTCAGAAGAGTTTTTTTTTTTTTTTAAATAGAAAGTGAGATTAGCCTTTGTCGAGGATGCCAGCTGAAGTTTAGGAAACTGAATTCCTGTAGTACATACAGCACAGTTGCAATGCCAGCTTTCACCACCCGATCTCATCCATTTGTCTCAGCCATGATCTAGATGCAGTGGTTCTCAAACTTTTGTACTTGTGACCCAATTCACATAGCAAGCTTCTGAGTGCGACCCCCCCCCAATAAATTAAAAACACTTTTTTATATATGTAACGCCATTATAAATGCTGGAAGCAAAGCGGGGTTTGGGGTGGAGGCTGACAGCTCACAACCCCCTCATGTAATAACCTCACAATCCCCTGAGGGTTCCGACCCCCAGTTTGAGAACCTCTGAACTAGAGGGACCACACCACTAGATATGAGAAATTAATTCAGTCCCCAGGCCTATTCCAATCCTTAGTGGAGATCACCAACAAAAGGGGCCAGTCTGGGCTAACTACA